AACGTCAGACTTTTCAGAACCATAAATCTTCGGGAAAGCATACTCCATCATTTTGAACTTGTATCTTGGATCTAATACAACTGCAACTCCCATAACTCCATGTATAACTGACCAATATTTATCAAACTTAACAAGCATCCCTCCCCCATTACTTTTATCACTTCATCTCGATCTTCACTCCACTTACTTAATGCAATTCTTATCTCATATATGGATGGGAAAAATACATTAGCCGTAGGATACTTGGTACCCGAAAACATCAAAGTCACTTTATAAAGCAGTTGCAATTTTCCACAAATACTTGAAGCTAACTCCCAATCTCTATATGTAGGTAAACTTCTATATTGTGCTTCTCGTTGCTTTAAACGTTTGAAAACATCCTTGTACACTATAGCAACATTCAACATTAAATGTGTCGAGTTCCAACGTGTTTTACAATCAAGAGACAATTTTTTGAGCAATCAACTGCCAAGTGACGAGCCGCTTCTTCAAACTTTTCTATTCTTTTTTGTGTTGCGCTCCAAAAATAAACATTATCCCTAATTCTCTCAATTCCATCCCCAATAATAGATAAACCATCTTGAACTATCAAGTTCAAGATGTGTGCACAACATCTCATATGAAATAACTCTCCTCTTAAAATCAACGAGTTCAAAGACAACTTGTCTAATAATAAATGAATCATCAGATCATTTGTGCTACAATTATCAACTGTAACTGTTGATATTTTTCTATCAATGTTCCTATCACATAGAGATTTATACAACACATCAGCAAGAACTTCAGTAGTATGAGGACAAGGCACGTATATAAACCTAGTAAATAAGTAATTAGAATCAATTTAGTTCTTATATTTAGTACCTAGCTAGCAAAGTTAAGTTTAAAGTACCTCATTATTCGGCTTTGCATCTCCCAGTTATCATCGATCAAATGCGATGTGATTGACATTAAACCTTTTTTTTGATTACTTGATGTCCACATATCTGTCGTAATGGCAATCTTGCTTCGATTCTTCTCCAATAGACTGAAATAAATACAACATACAAATTAGAAACCAAATAAATACAATATACAAATTAGAAACCGATTAAACAAATAAACATACCGCATTGTTTTTTCTTTCTCGAAGTCTTAAATCTTGAGAATATCATTTTTAAGGTATTTCTAGATGGAACCTTAAATAAAGGTTGAAGACCAACCACAAACTTTTGAAACCCATGATGTTCCACCATTACAAGTGGATATTCATGCACTATTACCATCTCTGCAATATCTTTTCTTGATTTTTCGGTGTCAAAATTTAATCATGATAGATTTGTTTGTCCATCCGTTTTTTTTGCCCCATCCCAATCACTTGTTGACGTATATCTCTACAAGTTCGCCTTGGACAACTCTTGAAATGATCATGCAAATGTCGTGTCCCATTCTTACTTTTTGCTCCTAATATTTTTTGCAATAACGACACTCTGCCTTATCCTCACCGTTAACATTCACCTTCTCAAAGTGATTCTATACAACTGAAGTAAGTTTTTGCTTTCTACTATTTGTACCAACATTGTTATCATCGATTTGTGTTTGTTCTTCTTCTATCGGTGAAATGGATGGGCCTTGGTTATTTGGCATCATAGATGATTAAGTCATGTTATTGCTTTCAGTTTGTGATTGTGCTTGTGCCCGTGCATTAGAATTATCATCTATGGGTCGTTGACCTTCTATTATTGCTTTGAAACAACCTTCATTAAGAAAAGTAGCTATTAATAATAAAAAATTGCAATTCTAGAGTCTGAAACTGACGGGACTGTTTCATAACCTTGAAAATTAAAGAGAAATAAAATCTACATATATGAATGATAATTAAAATTTGCAGTATTAAACCTAAAGATAACTATTTGCCTATATGAAGTCGAAGAAAAATTCAGCGAAAAAAAAAACAATCGAATCGCTTTCTCGGGTATCAAACGGAAGACATTTTCATTTGCATAAAATATATTTTATCAAATAGATAACAGAAAAATCAAACAAAATTATAATTACATACCTTCGGATATCCAATAGATCTCGACGAATTGATTTGAGAGAAAGAGAGGGGGAGGAGGGGGAAAAACGTTCTTAAGGAATTGGATTTTAATTTCGCTGGAAACCCTAAAACTTGGATTAACAAAATCAAACTGATTAATTGTTTTAATGAATTGAGAACCCGCCGTAATTTTTAGTAAATAAAGTACTGACACCAAGTACGATATAAACATTATAATATTGAGTATGGTATAATTATGTTTACTTATATAATATAAAATAACAAAAATATACAAATATGACAGAGTATTAATCTCCTTTATATATATATATATATATAATTTAAATTAAATTTATTAATATTATATATATATATATAATAATTATTTTTAATATTTATCAGGCCGAGTATCAGGCTGGGTATCGGGTAGTCGGGGCGGGGATTACCAAACCCGTCCCCGTTTAAAAAATTTAATTTTCCCCATCCCTGTCCCCGTTTATCATCCCCGAACCCGACCTGTTTAATTTGGTTTTCCCCAACGGGTTCATTTTTTTGTTATCCCTAGCCCAACGCATATCACTGAGAACTCAAGGTATGTGAGTACATTGAGGTTGTGCATTGTAACTGCAGTCGAAAATGCCGCGTAGAATTTGCATCGAAGTGCCACGTAGAATATGCACCGAAGTGCCACATATATTTGTCCTGAAGAACCGCGTAGAACCCTCGACTCTTGGCATGCCAACAATACCTCTGATTATCATTTATCCACATGTAACACATTCACATAGATCCTTTTCACGTAAAACACATTCACGTATATCATATTCACATACTAATAAAAAGCATAACAGTGCTTCAAAAATACTATTTATATAAAACATCATAAAAATATTGCATAAAATAAATAAAATTGTTTTCGATCGAAAATCTTCGAGGTTGACTTATCGCAAGCCATCCAAATATCTAATATAAAATAAATAAATTGCACTCACCTTTGTCTTATGTAAGTCCTAAATGAAATTCTTTTAACTTTCGTTCAATCTCTTTACTACGTCGATTCGCTCGGTACGCTTTCCATCCAAATCTACACATCAACATGTCCAAGATAAATATTGAATCTCAATTAACAGCTAACCTATTAGCATTTACATAAATGAAATAAAACCCGAATTTAAAATTTCAGACTGAATAGTATCAGTACTCTACACACAGTACCAATATTTCTCTTCTGTGGTACCCATACCTACTTCAATATCGATACCATTATGAGATTATGGAATTTCATCTTCAATTATAGTATCGATACCTTACTCTTGGTATCGATACCTCCACATCAGCATCGATACTACTTCAATAAGTATCGATATTGTTCATCCGATTCATAAAATTTCCTTCAATTTAACTTTATAGTATCGATACTGTTCTTACAGTACCGATACTCTTACCCATAATTCACTTATTTTAAATCGAATTTTACCCAAAATTCACTTAAACCTCTTACTATTAACTTCATTCATGCCCTCAAACTTATTATCACTTATCCCAACTAACTTACATCCATTAATCCCCTTTTAACATCCAAATTTCTCCATAGAACACTTAAAACTTAAAATCATACCCATTCTTGAAACATGTTCTCAATCATTTCTAAAACTTCAAACACCTTAATTAGACCTTTGACAAGTCAAATATATCTTTAAAAATCCAAATAATAATCAGTTTCATCAAATCCCTTAAAAACTCATTTTACTAATTCACCATAAATTCCTCAATCTCTTAGCTTCTTTTCATTTTTAAGCTTCCTTGAGCTTCTATACCAACCAAAGATTCAAAACCAACCCAAAATTCAAGAAACAACCCACTTGAAAAATAACTCACCTTGTCAATAGAGGTTTATGGTTGAAATTAAGAAGAAGATGGAGGCTTCTAGGCTTTTTTATACTCTTTCCTCTATTTCTCGCATGTTAAATATCCTTAAAATGAATTTTAAATTCATTTCATGTTAAAAGACTATTATGCCCTTTCATTATTCCTTCTTTTATAATCAGTCCTAGACAAAAAGTTCTAAATCAGTCCTTGAACTTTTCAATTTATCAAAATTAAATCACTAAATTATAAATTCTTACACTATATTCACTGACCTGATATTTGAGGTATTACAATAAATATCTATAATTATTATTTCAGTCAAAATAGATATATTCAAATTTAATTCCAACTCTTTTATTCACATTCGATTCAATTTAAATTTAAGAAGACACAACTCAAAATTTGGTTTGATTTTTTTAGGTGAAAACCTACATCCAATATGATCCTAATTATATATATATATATATATATATATATATAGTTATTTTTATTCGATTAAAAAAGAAAGACCTAATTCAAAAAAATAAACATTTTTTATAATTATCTTTAAATATAAAATAAATATTTATAGGGTAAATTACATATTTAGTAACTAAACTTTACTTCTCTCCTATTTCACTCACTGTACTTTAAATCTTTTCAATTTTCTCACTAAACTTAATACATTGGGCTTTTTTGATCACTCAATCATTTTATCACTAACGTCGTTATAAATGAGTTGTTATATAGATGCAAAACGACGTTGTTTTGATGAAAAAATTATTTTATTAAAACGGCATCGGCTTAACACCGTTAACTATTCGATGGTGGAGTAAAAAAATATAATGTATTAAGTTTAGTAAAAAAAATTAAAAAATTTTAAAACTAAGTGAGCAAAATATGAGAGAGTTCAGTGATTAAATTTTAATTTATCCATAATTATATTATTATATCGTAATAAATCAAGTCAGATTTTTTTACTATAAACTTGAAGCTAATTCAACTCGTTTATCCTTAAAAAAAATCTAACTCGAATTTAAACTTTCTAAAAATTTTCGATCAATTTAAATTGGAGCTATCAAACTGGGGTCTGCAAATATGAGGAAAACAAAATGTTTTACGTGAAACGAAAATAAAATTAATCACGTCTGCAATGAGTGTAACCTTATCTGAGTTATCAATACCTTCCTTCACAGAAATGGCGTCTTCCATTTCTGAAATCCATCAAGCCCATGCTCAGCTTCTCAAGACTGGTGATTTCTACCGCAATACCTTCGCTTCTAACAAGCTCATTTCTTTCGCTGTTTCAAATCCTGACCCATCACCCTCTCTTACGCTCACTCCATTTCTCTTACAATTCCCTCCTCAGAGCTTATGCTAATAGCCTCACCCCTCAAAATGTTCTCTTCCTCTTTTGCCAAATGCTTCAAGGTCCTGTTTTTCCTGACAAATACACTTTCACTTTTGCTTTGAAGGCCTGTGCTGGGTATGGTGGGGTTGAAGAAGGCAGGCAGATTCATGGTCAGGCGTTGAAACTGGGGATTGGGTTTGATGTTTTTGTGGCAAATACTTTGATCAATTTGTATGGCAAAAGTGGGTGCTTTGGGGTTGCACGGAATCTGCTCGATAGAATGACTAACAGGGATGTCATTTCCTGGAATGCTTTGTTGAGTGCTTATATTGAAAAAGGATCCATAAGTTCGGCTCGTAGATTCTTCGACGAAATGGAGCAAAGGAATGTAGAGTCATGGAATTTCATGATTTCAGGGTATTTAAGTTATGGGTTACTCGAAGAAGCTAAAATTATCTTTGATACAATGCCTGCCAAAGATGTGGTGTCTTGGAATGCAATGATTACGGGATATGCTCATGCAAGTTGTTTTGGTGAAGTTTTGAAGTTTTTTGAAGATATGCAGCGCGAGGAAGTGAGGCCAGATAGTTGCACATTGGTCGATGTGCTGTCTGCATGTGCTCATCTTGGAGCTTTGGGGCAAGGTGAATGGATTCATGGTTATATTGATAAGAATGGGATAGGCACCAATGGTTTTATAGCTACGGCTCTCGTTGACATGTATTCGAAATGTGGGAACATCAAAAGGGCTCTAAATGTGTTTAGAAATGCTTCAAAGAAGGATATTAGTACATGTAATTCCATAATTGTTGGTTTAGGGATGCATGGTTTTGGAGAAAATGCATTGGATGCTTTCTTAGAGATGCTTGTGGAAGGTTTTGAACCAAATGGGGTGACCTTCATTGCTGTTCTATCTGCTTGTAGTCGTTCAGGGTTGTTAAACGAGGGACATAAGATGTTCCAACTCATGGTCGATGATTATGGAATTGAACCAACTATTGAGCACTATGGTTGCATGGTCGATCTCCTTGGTCGGTTCGGGTTATTAGAAGAGGCTTTGGAGCTTGTGGAAACAAGGTCATTGCAAGAAGCTCATGTGCTATGGGAGTCCTTATTGAGTGCCTGCAAAAACCATGGTAATCTGGAAATGGCAGAGGATGTTGCTAGGAAGCTCTTAGAGTTTAATCCGCAAGATAGTACCTGCTATGTTCAGTTATCAAATGCACATGCAGCATTGAAAAGATGGGATGATGTTTCGAATGTTCGGCTAAAGATGAAGGCCCTGAAAATAAATAAGGAGCCTGGATGTAGCATGATTGAAGTAAATGGCGTTGTTCACGAGTTCTTAGTTGGTGAAGGTTTGATTAGTGAACAAATTTGACAGAAATTGACGTTTGCAGTTCCGAAATAGATGTTGAGGCCAGTCGAAAGAAATTACAGATTCATGAAATGTAATCCATTCTACTGGAAAGTAGGAATGAAGTTGCCGGTTGTATGATAGGGTTTCATGGGGAATCTTCAACATGTATGCTTGCTTTTGTGGATAAATCCGTGAGGCCTAATGAACCAAAGCGAAAAAGACCTTGCAGATTGGTATGGACTCTTTAAACTATAATTTTAAAGTTAAAATTTAACTTGATGCAAATTAGAATCATTGGAACATTGTTCACTCCTTGAATTGAATCATACCTACTGAAATACTTTGATGATGGACAGTGAGACCATTAACAAGCAAAAACGAATGCTCTCTCTATATTTTTTTCATTATTTGAAACTTCATGTACCATGAACTAGGATAGCCATGGATAGGTTAGGGTCAAATTTTTGGGCTATCCGACTCTGACTCGAGAAAAGATGATTTCATATGATTGAAGATGCTGGAATAAATGAAGAAAAGATGGGTTTTGGTACGAGAAATATGTGGCTAAGTCAATGGGAGAAAGAATGATTTTTCTTTATTTATTAATAAAACCATATAATAAATATAAATACAAGCAATTTTATAACATGAAACATTTGGCACTAATTCCCACTTAATATGTAAGACTAATTGTCATACAATGGCATTCTTCTTTCTCTCTTCTCAATTTGATCCTCAATTTTGCTGAGTTACTCATTTGATTATCAATTGAAATTTGGAAAGGATGATCGATCAATTTGACGTACCAGAGTTAATGGGGGTGTAAATCTTGAGTATTTTAAATAAATAAAATAATCATTCATAAACTTTTTAATCGACAGATTTAATTTTTTTATTCTAATCCAGAATTCAAGGATGTTACAAAAATTCATTTAAAAAAACGATAGAATGAAGAAAATAGCATGGAAACCCCTTATCTTCTTAAACCTCTCTAAAACCCCATTTCCCACTCATTCACCATTTTTGAAGCTTTCAAGATTTTTCTTAAAGCTCTTGATTGAAGAGGTGATGAGATTCTTTAGATTGTCTTGGAGGATTGGTTTTAACCCACAAGGTTACTCATTTTGATTCTAAATTTTAAACTTTAATATAGAAGAAAGGAGAAAAATGAAGAGATGAGAAAATTCGGATTGAGAACTTTTAACAATATGTTCTAAAGATTGTTGATAAAATAACATTAAGTTTATTTTTTGATTAGTCTAGGGTACTTACAAGTGGTAGTATATGTTATAAAAACTTTTAATTATTTGACAATGAGCGCTTAAATACCCCTGCTGTCGTTGGTGTTCGAATCTGGGACTTATAAGAATAATAACAATTCCTTTAACTACTAAAATCGCTTGGTTTGTGTAAAATAACATTAATTTTTTTTATTAATATGGGAAAAGTACAAGACAATATATGTTCAAAGATAAATCTCAATAATTTGATATTGAACGCACACACTCCTGACTTATGATGCTCGAACTTAATACCTTAAAGAATAACAATTCTTTTACTATTAAAGTAGCTTGATCCGGTTAGATAAAATTAATACATTTAAGTCATTAAACACTTTCATGGTAATGTAATAATAGTTTATCAAATTATCTTTATTTAATAAAATGTAATATTTATGTATTTTAAAAAGAGAAAATAACCTCAGTGACCAAAAATCCCATATAATATACGATTTTAACCAACTTTTTCCGGATTTGCCAAAATGACCAACAAAATCGCAATGCGATCGCTAATTCGCAACGCGATCTCCATTATCGCAAATTCGCGTTGCATTTTCGCAATGCGATAGTTGAAAATCGCGTTGCGATGGTCTACAGTATCGTTGCGATTTTCCCAATTTGCAATGCGAATAAGTAAATCGCAACGCGAATTGGGAAAATCGCAATGCGAATAAGTAAATCGCAACGCGAATTGGGAAAATTGCAATGCGATACTGACTATCGCAATGCGATAATAAAAAATCGCAACGAGATACTTACTTTCGCAACGCGATACTGACTTTCGCAACGCGATAATACATAATCGCAATGCGATTTTCAAAGCGCCATTAGTATCCTGGCCAAGTATTTTATTTTTAAATTCCAAACACGAATATTAATATATTGGAACACTGAACTGTCCACAGTATATCCCGTAATCGCAACTCATAACCTAAAACCTAAAATCACAACTCAGTCCCATCTCCATCTCTCACTCTCTCACCCATCTCCGACGAAATCCGTCCCCATCTCCGGCGAAATCCGTCTATCTCCATCTCTCAGAGCCACCCTCACAATCAGAAATGGAAAATCAACCAAATCAACCAACGAGGGTTAGTTTTTTTAATTATTTTCTTTTTGAAATTTTTGCATTATTATTAGGTTTTTCATATTGAAATTGATGATAAGTTTACTGGTAATTTCAATAATAGATTAACCATTTCACTTAGATTGCTTATTAAATCAACCGAGAATCGCAACGCGAAATGCAAATCGCAACGCGATTTTAGTTTCGCGTTGCGATTCTCTCGTTGCGATAGTCGAATTCGCGTTGCGATTTTCATTTTCGTGTTGCGGTTTTCATTTTCAGAAACTATTCTTCTTCTGCAAATTGAAACTTGAATGAATTGCATTACTTCAACCAAAAAACAAAGACAAATACGAAATTCACAGTGTTGCATATTTAAGTTTGAAGAATAAACTACTACTATTTATGTTTATTATTGTTTTTGGTATATCTTCACAGTGTAGTTTTTGGTATATCTAATTTAGTATGTTTATTGTTTTTGTATAACTTTTATTCGGCTTAATTGACCTTGAGAAATAAAGTCAGCCTGGCCAAAACAATTGCGTCGAAGCTTTCACCTGCACAAAGAAAAATGTTTGAGGATACATGCTTCGGGCCATGGCTGAAAGTACAACATCCCGGTGGAGATGCGATGTTGACACACCTGTTTCTTAAAACCATGACTAGCGATCTACCAGAGACTATACAACGTCGTGATGAAGAGATATGGTTTGATTTTCCATCGGCGTATATGTGTTTTGGGCGGGAGGAGTTTTGCTTAATCTCCGGTCTACGCTTCGGACACGATGATGTAGGTCGGTACACTAGACACATTACCCGCCCATCATGGCTATCCCGGGTTTTTCCTGAGCTGGAGTGGCCGAGTCTACACGTAGAAGACCTGACAAGATTTTTGAATAATAAAGATGGTTTTACTCAGATGGATGACGTCGACGTTGTCCGAGTATGCCTTCTAATTCTTTTGCATGCCGGCTTTTTAGGCAGAGAGGCCAGACAACCTATTCCAAATGATCTAATCAAATTGGTAGAAGACCTAAATGCGTGGAACCTGTTTCCGTGGGGCTCGTATTTATGGAAAGCTACATGGAATAAGTTATCGTCTGCCTTGGATGATCGAAAAAGTTTGCATGGCGATGGTTCCAAATACACTTTGACAGGCTTTATTTGGGCCTTTAAGGTAAGAATTTTTATATGATGTTTCCAAAATTATAAGTAATTATTTAACAATTACTAATGTTTGTTATTATATTGTTTGTAGATTTGGATATTTGAGGCCTTTCCCGCCATGAAGACATATGCAATAAAAACTTCAAATGATATTCCCAGGGCTATTTCCTGGAAGAGGAAACGGACCTTGCAATGGGAAGATTTACTATGGTATACGACAATAAATAATGTAAGTTAACATAAATACTACCATATGTTTATAAACAAGTTATTACTAGTACACGTTTAACTTTGTTTGAGCTTTTATATTGTTAGGAGGCCAACACTCCTCTACAGAGGCTGACACCCACGGAAGCTGAGCTTGCCACTGATTGGTGGCAAGCTAGTAAGCATTTTTTTGATGGAACGGTTGATGAGCAGCCTCCACTTCGGGAGCCATCACCTCGCCCAGAGCTATCACCTCACCCAGAGCCATCATCTGATCGACCCGACTATACACCTCCACAATGACAGCCATCACCTATTCTGTCACATCATCGAGCCTCTTCTCCACCATCACCGCAAGATAGGCGACCGGCAAAGATGCCACGACGTTTATCTCCCTGTTCTCCACCTCCACCTCAACGGGATGAGTTAGGGGAGTTACGTGATGAGGTCAATGCCTTACGTGAGGAGGTCGGTACTTTACGGAAAGACGATGGTGTATGGCGTGTTGAGGTGTCTACATTACGCGGTGAGGTAGCCGCTCTACGTGAGATGGTAGCATCGTTGCAGAATGAGGTTCATACTCTACGCAACGAGGTAAGTTTAAGATTTTTCATACTCGTAATTCATTCAGTTGCTGCCAATACTGCTAAACTGTTTTTGTTAGTATTTGTTTTTGGTTTTGTTTTTGTCTTTTGGTTGAAGTAATGCAATCCATTCAAGTTTCAATTTGCAGAAGAAGAATAGTTTACTTTCGCAACACGAAAATGACTATCGCAACGCGGAAATGGCTATCGCAATGAGAAATGAAAATCGCAACGAAAAAATCGCAATGCGAAATGAAATCGCAACGACAAAATCGCAACGCGAAATGAAAATCGCAATGCGATTTGTGTTTCGCGTTGCGATTTTGTCGTTGCGATTTTCATTTCGCATTGCGATAGCCATTTCCGCGTTGCGATAGTCATTTCGCGTTGCGATTTTAAGTTTCGTGTTGCGAAAGTAAACTATTCTTCTTCTGGAATGTTTATATATGTTGTCCTTTTAAATGTTTATATAAGTGCTTACTTCTGGAATGTTATCTGAGCATTTTGTGAAATATGATAGAATAATGATTTGGGTGAATACAATGCTAGTTTGAAACATATTTGTCTTTGTTTACTATCATGTCTGTTTATTTACTTATTTATGTATTAATTTTTTTTAGCGGCCCGATAAGGTGGATGCTTTACGTCGGGTTTTCCTTGCACGATGGAGTTCACGCATCAGACGGCGTGGACGTGCTATTACGTCTCTGTTCACCCCAATGGTGCGAAGACTCCGCAAGAAGAAGCCCGACTCACCGATCATCCCTCAAGAGTCCCCTCCAATCGTTCAAGAGGCCCCTATTCTCCCTCAAGATTCCCCCCTACCGTTCAAGAGGCCACTGTCATCGTTGAAGAGG